GTAGGAAGGGTAAGGAAGGGTAGTTAGGGAAGAGTGGAGTAGGAAGGGTAAGGAAGGGCAGTTAGGGAAGAGTGGAGTAGGGTAGGAAGAGGCAGGAATCAGCTCTCATTCACAAGGAGGATCCTGAGGAGGGCATGGGGCAGGTAGGCGTGAGGCCAGCCGCCGGCTCTGAGCTCCCGGCATAGACAAGGCACCACGGTGACCCCCCAGCCTGCAGGGCGGGTTGTCTTCTGCATTGTTTCTGTCTCCTCGTCTTGGCCCTTGTAGGTGAGGCAGAGAGGGGCGCTGGGGGTAGTGGGGCAGGAGGACGGAGAGCCCATGGAGTGGGGAGAGGGGGCGGGGCTGGCTGCAGAGGAAGAGGAGCTGCGGGAAGCTGGGTGGGAGGCCCCAGGGAGGGCTGTCGGGGTGACCCCCGTGCCGTGACAGGTGGTGTATGAGGAGTGCCGCATGGTGAACCTGCTGGCCCCCTATGTGTCAGGCTTCCTGGCCTTCCGAGAGGTACCCTTCCTGGCGGAGGCCGTGCGGCAGCTGCAGGAGAAGGAGCCCAGCCTCTTGCCCCAGGCAGGTGCCCTCCCTCGGGACAGGGTGGGGAGAGCCCCTGGGACGCCACCCCCAGCAGAGGGAGACCAGGCCGAGGCACATTTGCCTTGGGGAGAGGAGAAGGAGTTTTACAGACACTGTCACCTGGGCCCCTTCCTGCCTGCGGCTCCTGGGACAGCCCAGGCCAGGTGGACGTGGGCAGTGCCCGCTGACCAGGCTTGCCCTGTGGCTCTTCTAGGTTCTTCTTGTGGATGGAAATGGGCTGTTACACCACCGAGGTAATCCTTCCCTGAAAGAGAGGGCAGGGAGGGTGCCATGGTGAGGGAGAGACTGGGAGAGGGCAGGGAGGGTGCTGTGGGGAGGGAGAGACCGGGAGAGGCAGCCTGCCACTCACCTCATGAAACCTCCACGGCCCTGCTGCAGCTGTGGTGGAGCCACTCCTCGGTGCTGGACTTGTTTCTGGTGTCCGCACACTCCAGGTTTCTACTCAGCTGTCTACTTGTCTCCCTGCCCCTCTGCTTCCCCCGCCCCAACCCCCGCTACAGACACCTATCCAGGAAAGACGCTCTCTACCATCTCTCCCTGCCCACCCACTGGCCCACAGTTCTGTGTTGACCTGAATGCTCCAGGACATCACTATGTGCAGGGTCCCCAGGCTAGGAGTAGCCATTTGCATCAGAGACCTGGCCTGTGTCCAGCCCTTGTCAGAAACTGCCCAGACAGAGTGCCCGTCCATCCCTGCTGGTGTTGGGAACCCGTGCTCGCGTTGGGAACCCGTGCTTGCCTGGGCAGACTGGCTCAGGAGGAAGGGACAGGGAAGTGGGCTGTGCTGCCCACAGATGCAAGCCTGGGGCTACCCTTGGGCAGGCCTGGGGGGACAGAGATACAAGCGGTGGGGGGCTTCCCGACCAGCAGGAGTGGGTGGAGCCTGGCCACTTCCCCAGAGCCTCTGAGTCCAGAGGCAAAAGGTTGATAGAGATTGATGTGGGCGCAGATCTGGCTGCCTGAATCCGAGGGCCACCGGCAGCCAGCCACCACAGCCCAGCACCCCTGCAACCTCGTGTCTGGCGGAGGCTCAGACCGTGGGGAGGTGGGGGCGGGGAGAGTGCAAGAGACCAGAGGCCTAAAGGGAGGAGAGTGGAAGGTACCAGAAAATCCAAGGAAAACGGGGTGCAGCATCTCCTAGTTCAGAGGAACAGAGGCCTCGGCCAGCCTCACAGCATGCAGACATCTGTCACCTGAGAAATCTCAGAGATTCTGGTTTGTCTTTTGCCCCAGCCCCCACCCCCCAACCCGGTGGCTCCCTAGCCCCGGGCCACCCAGCCTCACCCCTCCTTCCCCCTCTGCCCCTGCAGGCTTTGGGGTGGCCTGCCACCTTGGCGTCCTCACAGACCTGCCCTGCATTGGAGTGGCCAAGAAGCTTCTGCAGGTGGACGGCCTGGAGAAGAACAACCTGCACAAGGAGAAGGTGAGGGGGCCCTGGTGGGGGATCACCCACCTCTGGGGCCCCATTGGTCCTGCCCTTCCTGCTGGCACTCTCTCTGCACTGGGATCCCTGGTCTGGAGAAGGAAGACCACATTCTCCAAGAACCCCTGACCCCCCACTGCACAGGCCCCTGGGGGTGCTGAGTCTCAGGAGTACCAGAGTGGCCTTGCTCCCCTCGGGCCTCGCTGAGCCCCTCTGCCAGCCTCCTCAGACTCCCCGAGTTTGTCCCAGGGCGTGCTGACCTCTCCCATCCCCATCAGCTCTGTGCCATTGCCGTGCCCACACGGGGCAAGTTACTGGAGACAAGACAGGCTTCCAGACATTTGGAAGCCTGTGTGCTGGTACTGCATGCTTTTTCTCCTCCCACCATACTCCAGCCCCCTGGCTCCTCCACTGAGTGCTCAGACCCTTCCAGGCCCTGCTGCCGCCTGGTCCCCTTCCTGGCTGGCCCCCAGGCCCCATCCGGCCTGGGTGTGTGGTGCTCACACCAGCTCCTGCCCAAATGAGGACAAGGACCAGGCTTTCTTTGTCTTAGCTCTCCAACGCCTGCATCCAGCGGTTGCTCAGTAAGAGTCTGTTGAGTTAAATCAAAACCAACCGAACCAGTTGCCATGGAGTCCACTCGTAGCCCCCGTGTGTGTCAGAGCAGAACTCGGCTCCGGGGGGTTTCCAGTGGCTGGTTTTTCAGAAGATCGCCAGGCTTTTCTTCTGAAGCACCTCTGGGTGGACTCAAACCTTCAACCTTTTAGTCAGCCACTGAATGCCCCACCCAGGGACTCCGAGTTGAATCAAGTGTGCCCAAATTCCTAGCAGTGGGGAAAGGGCAGGGAGTAAGCGGTCTTGGTGCTTGTCGTGGCCTGCTGGCCTGGGGTGTCGCCTGTGGACCAACCAACATGGCTCAGTGGGTGGGACTCGGGCTTTGTTCTAGCCTGGAGCCACCATGAGCAGCCATGTGGCCATGGGCAGGCTTGTTTCCCTCCTGGGCCTCAGTTTCCTCATCTGTGGAATGAGAGAGTAGAGCCGAGCTCACAGGTGCTGTGAGGGTTGAGTGGGACATGCTGGAGCGTGCCAGCCACGAGGTTGTGAATGTTGGGGCCAGGATCCCCCCTTCTTCCTTGCCCAGTGACTGCTCGGGTTTTAAACCAAGAGACCTTCTTTCACCCCTTTCCCAAGAAGAGACGTTATTTCCAAATTTTGTTCCTCACTTTCCAGATACAACTCCTGCAGGCTGGAGGAGACACGTTTCCTCTGGTGGGGGACTCTGGGATCGTCCTGGGAATGGTGAGTGGCCAGAGGCTCGTGCCGTAAGTCAGAGAGGCAGCATGGCCAGGTTGGACAGCCACAGGTCATGTGAGGGAGCACTGGGCCAGTGGGGGACAGAGGGCTCCTTCATACGCACACACATGTACATATTCAGACACATACTGTACATGTACACAGCATGGATACACGTGTACACATATATGCGTATACACACAGACATATACAGGTACACATGTACCCACGCACAGACATACACACACACACACCACATGTACACAGCATGTTTACACATGCATGGCACGTGTCCACATATACGCACATATACACAGATGTATACGTATACACACATACACATGTACACACACCACACATGCTTATGGCACGTATACACACGTACACGTGCATATGTACACATATACACACGTGCACACAGATGTATACATATACACGCATGCACACACATACATGTGTAGAGCACATACACATGTACACGTGCATATGTACACATATATGCACATGCACACAGATGTATACGTGTACACGTGTACACATGCACATGCGCACACGCACACCGTGCACTGGACTGCCCGTCTCCCTCCATCTTCTTGCCGCTGGGACTGACCCAAGATGTGAGGTGACCGTGGTCCTTTCCTCCTGGGCCCCCAGCTGGGCCTGCCTGCCCTCTGGGAGCAGGAATGTGCCCTGAGGGCTGGGAGCCTGTCCTGCGGGAGTGGAGGTGCTGGGTCCCTTCTAAGCTCATTCTTGCCACCTAAGACCTGTTGTCAGATCCTCCAGCCACCAAGCTTGTCCTGACCCTGAGCCCAGTGGCTTGCCCCAGCCTGCGGGAGGGGACCTCAGCATCCTGACCCCCAGCGCCCTGACCTCACCTCCTTTGGCCCAGGCCCTGAAGAGCCATGACCGCAGCACCAACCCCCTCTATGTCTCCGTGGGCCACAAGATAAGCCTGGAGGCCGCCGTGCGCCTTACCCGAGCTTGCTGCAGGTTCCGGATCCCAGAGCCCGTGCGCCAGGTGGGTGGGCCAGGTGGGCAGGCCAGCACTGGGAGCGGGAGAGAGACCCAGCTTTGCCTCTGCAAGTGCACAGTGGTGGTGGTGGGGGTCTTGTGCTGTCTGGACGAGAGGCCCCGGGCTCCTTCCCTGCCCAGGCTGCTATTCTCCACTTGGCCTCCCGCCGCCCAGCTGAGGGATTGGAGGGCAAAAGGTGGAGACATCTCCCTGCACCTTCCGCTTCCATCTCTTCCCACAGCCTCTGTGCATCTGCCTGAGGTGACCTGGCAGAGGGACCGTGGTTGGGCCCTGATGGTCGGGCTGCTGGTACAGGGGGCCGCCAGGGGGCAGCAGCAGCCCAGAAACCCCTGTGTCCTGGGCGTCAGGGAGCCAGGCAGATGTCAGCATCTCCAGCCAGTGAGGGGCTGAGACCTGGCCAGCCGCCCACACCACCTCCCCCTCCCCTGTTCCTGCCCAGGGCTGTGCTGGCCTCGCAGATGCGTGGCCACCTGGGCTCTCCCTCACACTGCCCCACATGGCAGTCTGTGACGTGTGTCCCCAGCCTCCAGAGGCCTTTCCTCCTTCATTCCAGCCTCTGTATGACCCGAGAGAGACCTCCGGAAGCCCCCGACTGGCACTATGTTCCCCATGCTGCCAGGCTTGCTGGGCACGGTGGCCGGGCCTCTGTCCCGCTGCCTGTCCCGGCGTAGTAGATGGAGGCTGTCCTGTAGAGCCCCTGAAATAGGGCAGGAGTCACCTGTCCCGCCTCAGCAGGGCCCAGCAGGTGCCTGGCCAACAGGAAGCCAGCAGGGGTACGAGTACACGCCCATCCAGGAGCTTCCGGGACGGAAGCAGGGGCCAGTCCGACAGCTCTTGTTCTCTCTCGGCCCTTGGTCTTCCTGGGCTGCTGTCTTCTGTGCACAGTCTGCCATCCTGACTCTCCTGCCAGGGGAGGGTGAGAGATAGCTTAGCGTCTGTCTGCACCCTACTTCTTGGCCCAGCCCAGTTTCTGTGGGAGCCCGTGGTCACAGGCACTGCCTTCCTAGTGCCCAGTCTGGGCCCTTCCACTAGGCCAGGTGGCTGCAGGAAGGCAGGGGAAGCTGCCTCGGCCTGGCAAGGTGGGGCCCACCAGGACACCCCCCTGCCTGCCCCTGGCTGCCTCCCTGTTAACTGGAGGCAGAAGCGGCCTAGGGGATTAGCTGTTGCTGTCCATTAGTCATGCACCCCAAGTGGGGCTAAGCCTCTCTGAGCCAGAATCGGGGGCTCCTGAGGTCAGGCTAGGAGTGGAGGAGCCTGGTGCAAGGACCTGAGGGGGTCCTGCCTGGCCTCGGTCGCTGCCCCTCCTGTGTGCTGAGTTCCTCCCCCACAGCCCGCAGCTGTTTCATTCTGGTGACTTCACGGAACTTTCTGGAGATGCTTCCCTGGGGACATGGGTCATGGCTGACGCTAGGCGGGGGAACAGATGACGCCCCAAAGGCAGGGGCAGGAAGCCAGGCTGAGGAGACTCCCCTGAGAAGAGGCTCCTGCAGGGAGACCTGTGGCTTGAACCTCCCCTGCCCCAGGGATCCTGTGCTCAAAGCCCCCAGGAAGACCAAGCAGGGGGAGGGCCAGCAGCTAGGGCCTCCGGGGTGCCAGACAGTCTCCACCTGCCGCTGCAGGACCGTAGCCCTGCCACCCACACTGCTGGCCCTGCTACTCTTTCTCCCCAGAAGGCTGGGTGGTGGCGGGTGCTGCATCTGAGCACTGGATGTGGGGTGACAGCATGTCCATCAGGTTGTCGGCGGATGGGGAGGGCTGTCTTGAGGTGAACTGGGGACCCTCCCCCCACCTTTCTCATTGGAGCCATTATCTCCCCCAGGCTGACATCCGCTCCCGCGAGTACATCCGCAGAACCCTGGGGCTCCCCGTGCCCCCCGCCCTGGGATGGGAGAGGTGAGCGCCTAGGAGGGCCCAGGAGAGGCCCTTGGAGGGTGGGAAGAAGAGCTGAGCCAAGGACTGCTCGGGCTGGTGTGGACTTTAGGTCTGGTGTGGACCACCCAGAAACCCCCAGAGCCTCGGGCCCCAGGCCCACGTGGCCCCAGGCCCGCCTGCCAGCCTTCCTTGGCCCAGTTACCTGTGCGGCACCAGGGAGGGCATGGGCTGGCTGTGTCACTGTCGACACATCACCCACACTCCTCACTCCTGGGTTTCCTCATCTACCCAGTGGGCATAACAACTGTCCACAGAGTCCTCGTGCGGTGGGGCGAGCTCGTGCCTGGCAAGGGCGCCACAGCTGATGTGGGCGGGAACACTATGCGCAAGGCGCTGTTGTGAACGCTTCACACGGATCATTTAACCCGTACAGCAACAGCCCTGCCGTGGGACGGGAGCCCCATCCCACTCTATGGATGGAGAAACCGGGGCATGGAGCACTGGGCAGCATGGCAGGCCAGGTTTCAGCAGGGTCGGGCTGCAGAGCCCGCCTCCCCCTCTCCGCTGAGACCCCCAATAGAGGGGTGTGCTGCCTTTGTGCTGCTCTGCCCTGGAAGCCAGTGGCGACTCCTCAGATAAGCTGTTTCAGGGACCGAAGGGGCAGGGGAAGCTGGGCCCCCTGAACCCTCTCAGAGTTGAGGGCTGGTATCTTGACTGCACGAAGACCCCTGACCTCCAGGTCCCCCTGGCCTTCTGACCTGCGCCTCGTCAGTGGCCTCTGGACCCAGACGAGCCCGAGTGTCCTGGAACCACATGGGGGGCGAGAGGGATCCCAGGCTGGCTCTGGAGTTTGAGACTTCCCCTTTCTTGACTTATTACCAGGATCCAGAAGGCAAAGACGCCAGAGGCATGCCCCCAAGGAGGCCCGGGAAAGCCCGCGGGTGAGGGCAAGCCCCCTGAGGACCGCAGCCCAGGCCCTGGGGCAGATCTGGACGCTCCAACCCAGGCGTCCAGGGACAGTGGGGCATGGGCTGGTGGCCGAGCAGAGCTGGATGCCATGAAGACTCAGGGTTCCCCTACGCTGGCCTCCAGGAGCATGACAGGCCCCGGGGGGACTCATCTTGGGAGCTGTGGGGAGCTTCAGCCCCACAGCAGCAGGTAGGGGGCAGGCTCCATAGTCACGCCAGCACACGGCTGTGGCAGATGCAGCCCCTCCTGCTCCGGTTGCGTGTGGCTGTGTGGTCATGATGCCTTGAAGCCTGTGGTGTTCAGAGAAGACAGATTCCCACAGGGCACAGCGCCAAGCTGAGAGCCCATGCGGCTACTTTCCCTGGGACACGGGAGGGCGCAGGGCTCATCTGGCCAGCCCCACCGACCCCGCTTCTGCCCTGACCAGTATGGGGTCCGTGCCAGGTGACCAGACCTTCAGCCCCCAGCCACCTGCCCATCCTCCAGGCTGCTGCCGCCAACCCGCAGTGGGTAGGGGTGCTCAGTCTAGGGGCTGCCTGCAGAGGGGCTGCCGGGTGGGACACAGGGGCAGGATGGTTGCCGGGCAGTGCACGGAGGGCTCTGCCCTCCGGCCTGGGGCTGGGGGAACCCCACACAGCAGCCAGGTGAGGCCCATGCCTCCATGGGGGCACAGCTGCTCTGTGCCTGCCAGCCTCCTCGCCCAAGGCCACCCTAGTGGGGCAGCGGTTCAGCCCTGTCCCTGACTCGGGCCCCTCCTGGCAGCAGCTTCACCTCATGGAGTGGGCTGGAAGAAGTCCCCTGGGGGCGGGGAACAGGGGCAGCCCAGCCTCTGCCAAGAGCTGGTCCTCGAGGGGGCTCCCTCACCCATGGGCTCTTCCAAGCCTCCTTGGGGGCACGCCTCTGGCTCTTTGCTTCTGGATCCTGGCAGTAAAGTCAAGCAAGGGACCTGGGTCCTGCTGCGGTCACCAGAGCAAGCGACAGCCAGAGTCTCCCGACACCCGCCTCCGTGTCCATCCCAGCAAGCAGGTTCCAGTGTGTCCTGCAGGCACCCCCTCGGGTGCCTGCCTCCTGGCCGCTGGTTCTCTCTGGCACCCCCCTCACCTCCCTCACTCACCTGGGCGTCTGCTCACCCCCGTCCCGGCCCTAAGACTCCAGGGGACCCCACCCGACTTGCCAAAGCTGGGGTTTCCGGGGAGCCCCAGACAACCCCTCCCTGCTGCTCCACGCCTTGATCCTCCCCAGTAGGACCCTAGGCTAAGAACCTGCCCCCAGCACCTGGGCTCTGTGCTCACCTTTGCCCCCCAGGGGCCTCAGTCTCCTCTGCTTCAGGAACTCCACGGTCGATCGGGCCAGCAGGCCCTGCCCCAGCCCGAGAAGAAGGATCAGTGGGCTCCTGGGTGCAGTGTCTCGGGTCTGCCCATCAGCAAAGACAGGCCATGCCAGCCCCTTACTCCAGACCCCGAAAGGCTCTTGGTGCAGCCTTGGGGGTATGCAGGGGCTAGGAGGGGGTGGGCCAGGCTTGGGCAGGAGGAGAGAGAGGCACCGAATGGGTCTGCACCTGCAGTGCTGGCCAGCACCAAGCTGGAGCGCTCAGCTAGCAGGGCAGCTCCCTGCTGCAGAGGCTCCAGCTGAGGCTGGGGGGCCGCCACACGTGGGGCCTGGACTTACTAGTTGCAGCTGGTGAAACTGCTGGGGTCCCCGCCAAACCCGTGTGCGCGGGACTGAGGTCCCCCTTGGGAGAGAAAGTCCAGGGCAGCATGGGATCGTGCTCTGAGAGCCAGGCCAGACTGCCACTCCCACCCTGCCTGCTTCCTGGGGTGTGGCTGGGATGGACACGTGGTCTGTTCTCAATGGATGGAGGGCAGTGGGAGCCCAGCACCACGCTGGACCCAGGGACAAGCCCTTAGTGGTCAGGCAGGAGGGACAGCCCAACCACCCAGTGTCTGTCACATGGATTCACCCCCTGGCTGGGCCCCCCACAGGGTCCTATTGGGTCCGAGGGATCTGAGCCATCCGTGAAAGCCCCCAGAGCTGTCTCACTAAGGACTGGATGTCCCTGGGCACAGGCGGCGAAGAGCAGGGCTCCTCCTGGGTCCCACCTCAACCAGCACAGCCACGGTCCTGGGGGTCCACGAAGTGGGGAAGCAAGGGCCTGGCGGTCCTGCGTCATTGCTGTGCGTAAATTCATTCACACCCACCTCCCCCCGCCCCCACACACCCCCAGACCCACACAGCCCTGGAGAGGAGAGACAGAGGGTCTGCATCAGGAGCCCCCTACCCCAGGTAGGGAGCAGGGGAGTCATGAGGGTGTTCCACAGGGAGCTGGCAGGGGGTGCTGGCTCCCAGTGACCCCACCAGTGCCCGGGCTTCAGCCCGCCCCCACTCCACCTCTCCTGGCACTAACTTGGCGGGGGGCCTAGGCAGCTGCCGCCTCATCCCACCCACCTGCTGAGTCAGAGGGCGAGTGCCCCCCAGGCAGCCCCAAGCCTGGTGCCCAGCACCCGGGCCAGCACCTCACCCCACTGCCCACTGGATCCCCCGCAGACCCTCACTCCCTACACTCCCCTGGCACCCCAAGCCCCACAGCAGCCAGGGCTGGAGGGCTCACAGCTGGCCCTGTGCCTACCCTCTCCACTCTTCCAAATCCTTCCCTGCCAGGGCCCTGTCAGGGTCAGGACCTCTGAAGGTGGGCCCAGCTGGCGGGGATCCTGCCTGCCTCACTGCTGGCCTTGGGCAAGACGCAGAACCAAACTCTCAGAATCTCAGTCCCTCATGGGATGGCAACTGTCCTGCCTCACAGACAGCTGAGAAGCGGGTGAGAGGGTATGTGCCATGCTTAGCACAAAGCCCAGAAGGCCTGGATAAAGGGTGGTCAAAAGTTCAGGGCCGCGGGGGCCCTCGGAGGTTGGGCAGACGGCCTCCGGTCTGCAAGGTGGCTCCAACTGCAGCCGAGAAGGCAGGAACCAGAGGTGAGGGAGTTCTCATCTCCTCCCAGGCTCCCACCAGCCACAGAGCTCGGAGCCCAGGGCTGCCCCTCAGGGTCCTAGGCCGTACCTACCCTTCCATGCCTGCCCAGGCACGGGAGAGAACCGGGAGGCGGGGGGTGAGGTCCACACCGCTTGGCACACGGTAGACCCACCTAAGAGTGGCTCACTGCGACTGTGAAAAACGCAGCCACTTCCACCAAGGGCCCTGCTCTTTCTGTAAGGGATGGGCAGGGTGGTCATGCCCTTATGGGGACTCTCCTTTAATGGCACCTCGGTGACCACGGGGCTCAGAGTGGCCTCCTCTGCCTGAGGGTGTAACTGGAAGTGGACTGTGTTCTCTCCTGTAGGGGGGTAGGGGCAGAGAGACTCCCTGTGCCGTCCCGTTCACCCCCCGCTGTGAGAAGCAGGCCAGAGCCTGGAAGTAAGCTTGAGACAACCTATGTGTGGGCTGTTTTTTTTTTTTTTTTAATTGAGATAAAATTCACATAACACAACTTTCTATTTCAACCATTTTAAAGTCTACACTTCAGTTGTTTTTAGTATGTTCACAGTGTTGTGCAACTATGGGAAAAAAAATCAAACCCCCTGCCCTTTCCGTTAGCAGCCGAGTGCTTTAACCGCTATCTAAATCCAGAACGTTTTCATCACCCAGAAGAAACCCCATACCCATTGCTTTAACCGCTATCTAAATCCAGAACGTTTTCATCACCCAGAAGAAACCCCATACCCATTGCTTTAACCGCTATCTAAATCCAGAACGTTTTCATCACCCAGAAGAAACCCCATACCCATTGCTTTAACCGCTATCTAAATCCAGAACGTTTTCATCACCCAGAAGAAACCCCATACCCATTGCTTTAACCACTATCTAAATCCAGAACGTTTTCATCACCCAAAAAAGAAACCCCATACCCATTGCTTTAACCACTATCTAAATCCAGAACGTTTTCATCACCCAGAAGGAAACTCCATACCCATCAGCAGTCACTCCCTATTCCCTCTTATTTCCAGCCCCTGGCAACCACTATTGTGCTTTCCATCTCTGTGGGTTTGCATGTTCTGGACATTTCATATAAATGGATCGCAATATATGGCCTTATGTGTCCAGCTTCACTCAGCTTGTTTCTTCCAAGGTTCATCCATGTTGTGACACGTGTCAGAACGTCATTGCTTTTTGTGAGTGAATAATATTCCACTGTATGGTTATACCACATTTTGTTTATCCATTCATGTGTGGACATTTTGGTGGGTTTCTACTTTTTGTCTATTGTAAATAATATTGCAGTGAACATTTGTATATGATTTTTTATGTGAACCTACGTTTTCAGTTCTTTCGGGTATATACCGGAGAGGAATTGCTGGTCCATCTGATAATTCTATGTTTAACTTTTTGAGGAACTGCCAAACTATTTTCCACAGCAGCTGCACCATTTTACGTTCTCACCAGCAGTGCACAAGTGTTCCTGTGTCACACATAACTTGTTATGGGTCTTTTTTATTATAGCCATCCTACTGGATAGGAAGTGGTATCTCATTGTAGTTTTAATTTGCATTTCCGTAATGACTAATGATGTCTTGTTTCTTTTCATGTGCTTATTGGCCATATGTATATCTTTCAGGGGGGACTATCTAGTTAATCCTTTCCCATTTTTAAATTGGATGGTTTGTCTTTTTGTTGTTGTAGGAGTTCTTTATATATTATGGATACAAATTGCTTATCAAATACATGATTTGTAAATATTTTCTCCCATTATGTGAGTTCTTTTCACTTTTTAAAAAAATTTTTCCCATACAAAAATTTATACATACATTGTTATGTGACTCTAATTGCTCTCCCCATACTGTGACAGCACACTTCTTTCCACCTCATTCCCCATGTCCATTCAACCAGTTCCTAACCCTCTCTGCCTTCCCATCTCACCTCCGGAAAGAGGCTGCCCGTTTAGTCTCTTGTATCTACTTAGGCTAAGAGGCACACTCCTCACAAGTATCACTTTATGTCCCACAGTCCAGTCCAATCCCTGTCTGAATGAAGAGTTGGCCTCAGAAATTAGTTCTGGGCTGATAGAGAATCCAGGGCCCATGCTTTCTGGAGTTCCTCTAGTGTCATTCAGACCATTAAGTCTGGTCTTCTTACTAGAATTTGACTTCTGCACCCCATCTTTCTGCTGCTACATCAGGGACTCTCTGTTGTGTTCCCTGTCAGGGTGGTCATTGGTAGTAGCCAGGCACCATCTAGTTCTTCTGGTCTCAGGCTGATGAAGTCTCTGGTTTATGTGGCCCTTT